ATGATTAGTCATCACAAAAGGGGCTTTTGGAAATTGCTAGTTCTTCAAGCTAAACAGCACAAACGTGAACCCCGAAAATTTTGGAGTAAGATCCCACAACTTTTAGGGCCCCAAAACAAGGCTCCCAATACCTAGTTTATACCTTCATGATGAGGGGGATGAAGATGTTTAAAAATTTAAAATTGACGATCCACGGCCAGGCTAATTTGATGGGTGATGTATGGGGGAAAATCTCTCCCACAAAAAACAGGTCAATTAACAATAATCATTATAGTTGGTAAATAATGGAAAAATGGAACTTGGATGTCTACAACCATACCTTCCATCGATACTTCAACCTTGAAAATACCCCCCGCTTTCAGACCTATTACATACTAGAGATGAGTCAGGTTATTGGAAGAATGCGCAATAGAGCCCCTGGCTCCTTGGGGAATAAAAATGAAACAAAAAAATTCCCCCCCAGAAATTGTAAACAGTCTTTGGTAAATATCTTTTTAATGCCATTTGGCCTCAGGACATTTTTAGTGGTTTTAAGAGTAGGATGTCTTTTAGGGGAAACCAATAAAGACATTTACCAACCTGGGAACTATAGACCTATATCTTTACTTGAAGTTATGGAAAAATTCTTGAGAAGGTCATTACCCAAAAATTTTAAAACTACAGGAGTTTAATCCTTTTTTACTGAAAAACAATTTGGCTTTTGAACACAGAGGTACCAATCATGCAATAAATGTTATTTTTGATACTGTAGCAAGTCAAAAAAATCGGGGAAAACTTGCCCTTTAAATTTCCACCAGAGATGTTTAAAACTTTTGATAGCTTTTGGGATGATGGCCCTTTATCAAACTCATTGCCTACCAGACCCTAATGGGCTTTCCTCAGAGAATATATAAATTTTTTAATCAAAAAAAAAATCATTCCCACCTTTATGGGGGTCGATACTTACTTACTTCTTACTATAAGCCTTTTTTACCGCGGCTGTGTCCCACAAAGGTTTTTTTGTCTCAGTCCACTTCTGTTCAAATTTATGTGAATGACCTTCCTCAACCGAGTTTAGTGATACGATTTTGACCAGTTTGCAGATGATGTTATTCAGTCGTTCATCAACTCCGGTTTAACAGGAAAATACAAGTTGAGAGTTCATAGAAAAAAAGAATACGAACTTGTCGAACATCTAATTGGAAAAAAAGTGGGAATTTCACTAATCCTGACATCGTTACACGATAGGTGTTTTGCATCAACAAATTTAAAATAAAGGAGGATCTATAAAGGTTTCCCGTAGCCCTTGAAACCCTAACAAAATTTTGGGGGACGAAATAACAGGGTGCTCCAATCAAAATCTCATGTAACTAAAAAAATCAAAATAGCCAAAGCCGGTCTTAGCAGTCTCTTTCGATTCAAACAAGCCCCAACATGTCAAAAAAAAAATCTGTAAAAATGTTTTAAAAAGACCTATACTCGAATACCCTTGTGTCCCCAAAGTCATTAACAACAAAGACAAATATGCTACGGTTACAAAGGGTCCCGAATAGAGCGCTTCGCTTCATTCCGATACCCGGGGAGAGAGAGTAAAAAAAGGCAAATTTTCACATACAAAAGAATTTACTCCATAAATGTACGCCTTGCCCCCTAAAAAAAACAACTCATACAAGCAAGAACATACACCCAATAGAAACATCCTTACAAGGGTAAATACCATGGTTTAATCTCAATACTCCCCCCAAAAGGACTCAAAGAATGACTTTTCCCCACGAGGGTCCGTCGTTTTATACATAAAGATGATTCCCCTCGACCCATGATATTGAGCAACCCCCCCTGATGAAAAGAGGGTAACCCCAAACCCTTCTATGTATACGAGAAAATCATCCCCCCCAATTGGGAGACATTTTATAAAACAATCTAATGTAAAAAAAAAGCATTTACTAGGCGGGACCCACCGTAAAAGCCATTGTCACAAAATTTCCCTATAAACTGGTCAAAAAATTACTCCCTTCATTGTCGTTAAATATCCGTTGTGCAATCGGGGGCAAAAAAAAAAAAAAAAAAAAAAAATTGCAACTGTATAATTATCCCAATTCAGAGTCTGTACTTATATTCTGTTATATTTTGTGACTCTGAGGGGTTAGTTTTAACCTCTTATAAAAAATTCTTATCATTTCACTACATTTTTTAAATTACACCCAAAGGGGTGGGCCACTTACTTTTTATACCCTCCCTTCCTCCCCCCTCCCCCCCTTTTTCCAAAATTTCTATCCTTCCCATCCTTCTTCCTTAACCATCCACCCAAAACTCTGGTCTGGATACCGAATACCCCAAAAATGTTTTTTTTTTTTTTTGGGTTGTCTTAAGAGCTTCACTCTTATTTTCGGCGTTGGCTGTACACTTGGGTTTTTCCTGCCTTGCTTTAAATTTTAAAATTATTTTTTATAATCCCCCATTTCTTTTAAAGGCTGTACGCCTATCATGTGATGATTTAGCAAGCGATTGAACTATTTTTTTCATTTTAGCCTTGTTGTTGGCGTGGGTCTCTGAAGGGGGAGGTAAATAATGACAGCAGGGATCGGCAAAGACTATTAAAATGTCCAAACATACCCCGATCCAACCCCCCCCTTTCCCCACTTAACAGCTCACCGACCAGCCACACACCCCGGGAATTACTGTCTTGTTGGGGTACTCAACATGTGGGATAAAGGGGGGCTATAAAACATTTTTTAGCCTGTGGTGATAAGGGTAGCTATAAAAATTTTGCACTGAGGGATCAGAGTACAAATTCTCCTTGGGAAAAATTTTATTTGGAAACCCTCTTTTGGAGTCACAAACATCTGTGACCCCCACCCCCTCTTCAACTACACTCCTCAAAGCTCGGTGTCAACAACATCGACACGCCCTTCTACAACTACTACGTCTGTACTAATTAGCTTTGAATTCACATATTTATTTATGTGGGCGAGGGGCTTGGACTTCTAGCAAGCATGCATGAGCGTGTTAGATAGGAGTGAATGGAGACGAATGATACTTGGGACCTGACGATCTGTTGGAGTGTGAGCAGGGTAATATTTAGTGAAGGGATTCAGGGAAACCGGTTATTTTCATATAGTCGGACTTGAGTCCTGGAAATGGGAAGTACAATGCCTGCACTTTAAAGGAGGGGTTTGGGATATTGGCAGTTTGGAGGGATATGTTGTGTATCTTTATACGTATATGCTTCTAAACTGTTGTATTCTGAGCACGTCTGCAAAAACAGTGATAATGTGTGAGTGTGGTGAAAGTGTTGAATGATGATGAAAGTATTTTCTTTTTGGGGATTTTCTTTCTTTTTTGGGTCACCCTGCCTCTGTGGGAGACGGCCGACTTGTTGAAAAAAAAAAAATTAATTTTTCTTTCAAGTAGGATTAATTCTCAATTCTTTTACATTTATGCTTGAAATCATGTACTAAAAATGCTTATCTTATGTTATTATGTTTTCCATCATTTATTTACATAAGGAGGAACCAGCATTTTCAATTCCTTACTTAGGAGCTGACAAGGCTGACAAGATACCTCAACACACCACTCACTTTTTTTCCTTCATCACTTCTATGGTTAACCTTATCCTTCATAAACTCATCCACTGACAAGTCAATTCCCAAATATCTGAAAACATTTACTTCTTCCATACTCCCTCCCTCCAATGTGATATCCAGTTGATATCCTTATCACCTTACTCTTATCTATGTTCACTTTCAACTTTACACTTTATCTAGGTGGCCAGTAATAAAAATTTGTTAGTGCATTATAAGTATTTTAATTTTTGAGACCTACAAAAAAATTTGGTGGGACTTTTTTGGGAAGCTAATGAATGTAAACCTATCCCCCCCCCCCCCGTTCTTCAGGTCAGTTTACACAATTTTTTATCAAAAGCCATTTCGAGGAATGTAACCACCATGTTATCCGACAGTCTACTGTATATCTACCTGGAGGGTGATCCAGAGGTCAACACCCTGCTGTACACTAACGGCCCCCTTCGAGGCTGGCGACATTGCAGACCTGGAGTGTGTACAAAGAAATTTCACGGCACACATAAGTACAATAAGGCACCTAATCTACTAGGAACGGCTGAAGGTCCTTGATCTGTATTTCCTGGAATACAGGCAAGACAGATACATGATAATATACATTTGGAAGGTCTTGGAGGGAGTGGTACCAAACCTGCACACAAAAATCGTTCCCTATGAAAGCAAAAGATTTGGCAGGAATGAACATTTCCCCCGATAAAAAACAGGTCCACGAGTACCCTAAGAACACAATCAGTGTCCGGGGCCCCAAAACTGTTCAACTGCCCCCCAGCAACATAAGGGGTTACCAAAAAGAGTGACCAACCGGGGTGTGGTTCATAGCAGTTATGCGGCAGCATAACAGCCCGTTGATCAGTCCCCAATCCACCAAGGCCTGGTCCCCAAGGCCATGGGGGCATTGACCCCTGAAAACCCTCTCCAGGTAAACTCCAATAAAACCCCTGCACCCAGTCCATGACCAGGCCTTGTGGTGGATCAGGGCCCGATCAACAAGGCTGTTACTGGTGGTTGCACATAATCCAAAGAATAAACCACAGACCAGCTGGTCAGGTACTGCCTCTAGGTATCTGTCCAGTTCCCTCCTGAAGACAACTAGAGGTCTACTGGTAATCCCTCTTTAAAACCCGTAACGGTCCCAAAAATATATATACTTTCACTACCGTACTGCCCCAACTTTTTTGAGAAAAAAACATTGTTGTTTTTTTAATAGGAAAAAAGAGCATATGGTACCCAGGCATCCCCCAATTATTTTAATATGGCGCACAGTGAGTGCTCACACCCATTCTCTCATGTCTAGGAGACTCAGGCTTATCATGGCAATGTTAAATGTATGACACGTAAAACATATATACATGTATGTTTGGGGCACTAGCGGTAAAAACGTATATATACGTTTGAACCGTTTACGGGTTAAAAAATTAAAATAATTAAAATAGATGAAATTACCTCATGTGAATCACTGCGAAGCTCTAGAGGCTGCTTGAGTAAATGAAGTGACTGCGGAGAACTTGGACAGTGAGGTGACTGAGGGGAGGTAGGACAATGAGGTGATTGGGGAGACGATGGGGAGGAACACGAGTGACTGCCTCGGCTACCACTTGGTCTGTTGCTTCTACTGGTACAACTGCTGCTACTTCTGCTGTTACTACTGCTGCTGCTACTGCAGCTGGCCACTCCACTGTTATCAATGGAGGCATTCTTAGTTTTCTGATTTTTAACAGTATCCAGGCTTATGCCCTCCCCTCCATCATCTGTCAAGCACATCTGTTTGCGTAAAGTCTCCAGCAGAAGTGTGACAAACTCTTGACAGTCATGCTGAAAAAAATAAATATCTTATTCATTTTATAACTGAACCAGATATGAATTCTAGAGTGGGTAAAAATGTTGTAGAGGGAGTAGTAAGTAAATCTGGGGTCCAGATATAAATGAAAATGGGGAGCCTTTAATTGAACTATGTGTAGAAGGAGGTCTGGTAATAAGTACAGTGGACCCCCGCATACCGGACGCATCGCATACCGAACAATCCGCATACCGGACGCTTTGATCGCAAAAATTTTGCCTCGCATACCGCCCAAAAACCCGCTCACCGCCCTTCGTCCGAGACGCGTCCAATGTGCGGCCTGAGCCACGCTCACATGTTCCGCCGGTGGCATTGTTTACCAGCCAGCCTCCGCGGTAACATCCAAGCATACAATCGGAACATTTCGTATTATTACAGTGTTTTTGGTGATTTTTTCTGGAAAATAAGTGACCATGGGCCCCAAGAAAGCTTCTAGTGCCAACCCTACAGCAATAAGGGTGAGAATTACTATGGAGATGAAGAAAAAGATCATTGATAAGTATGAAAGTGGAGTGCGTGTCTCCGAGCTGGCCAGGTTGTATAATAAACCCCAATCAACCATCGCTACTATTGGTGGTACAGCTGCTGCTGCTGCTGTACCACCATCAGCTGCTGCTGCACTGTCAGCTGCTGCTGCTGTACCACCGTCAGCTGCTGCTGCTGCTGTAGCACCGTCTGCTGCTGCTGTAGCATCGTCTGCTGCTGCTGTAGCATCGTCTGCTGCTGCTGTAGCATCGTCTGCTGCTGCTGTAGCATCGTCTGCTGCTGCTGTAGCATCGTCTGCTGCTGCTGTAGCATCGTCTGCTGCTGCTGTAGCATCGTCTGCTGCTGCTGTAGCATCATCTGCTGCTGCTGTAGCATCGTCTGTTGCTGCTGTAGCATCGTCTGTTGCTGCTGTACCACCGTCAGCTGCTGCTGCTGCTGTAGCATCGTCTGTTGCTGCTGTACCACCGTCAGCTGCTGCTGCTGCTGTAGCATCGTCTGCTGCTGCTGCTGCAGTAGCATCGTCTGCTGCTGCTGTAGCATCGTCTGTTGCTGCTGTAGCATCGTCTGTTGCTGCTGTACCACCGTCAGCTGCTGCTGTAGCATCGTCTGCTGCTGCTGCTGCTGTAGCATCGTTTGCTGCTGCTGTAGCATCGTCTGTTGCTGCTGTAGCATCGTCTGTTGCTGCTGTAGCATCGTCTGTTGCTGCTGTAGCATCGTCTGTTGCTGCTGTACCACCGTCAGCTGCTGCTGCTGCTGTAGCATCGTCTGCTGCTGCTGCTGCTGTAGCATCGTCTGCTGCTGCTGTAACATCGTCAGTTGCTACTGTAGCATCGTCTGCTGCTGCTGTAGCATCGTCTGTTGCTGCTGTAGCATCGTCTGTTGCTGCTGTACCACCGTCAGCTGCTGCTGCTGCTGTAGCATCGTCTGCTGCTGCTGCTGCTGTAGCATCGTCTGCTGCTGCTGTAACATCGTCAGTTGCTGCTGTAGCATCGTCTGCTGCTGCTGTAGCATCGTCTGTTGCTGCTGTAGCATCGTCTGTTGCTGCTGTACCACCGTCAGCTGCTGCTGCTGCTGTACCACCGTTGTTGGTGTGGCTTATTGAGAATACCAAGAAACAATTAACCCCAGAGGATTTGCCACCCAGGATATCCCAAAAAAGTCAGTGCGTCATCGAAGACTGTCTAACTTATTTCCATTGGGGTCCTTAATCTTGTCTCCCAGGATGCAACCCACACCAGTCGACTAACACCCAGGTGAACAGGGGAAAATGCCTGGAACTAGTGCTCATATTGGTGAATTTAAAGCCAGCAAAGGTTGGTTTGAGAGATTTAAGAATCGTAGTGGCATACACAGTGTGATAAGGCCTGTTCTGGAAGAAAATACCAAACAGGACCTACAGTACTCAGGAGGAAAAGGCACTCCCAGGACACAGTGTCTCATCAGTCATTGCTGCATCTTCAATAAAGGTAAGTGTCATTTATTCTTCATTTAGTAGAGTAGTACATGCACAATATATATTGTGCAAGTACTACTCTAGTATTGTGCATGTATCCTTCTCTTTGTGTGTAGGAAAATGTATATTTCATGTGGTAAATTTTTTTTTTTCATACTTTTGGGTGTCTTGCACGGATTAATTTGATTTCCATTATTTCTTATGGGGAAAATTCATTCGCATACCGAACATTTCGCATAACAGCCAGCCTTCTTGCACGGATTAAGGTCGCTATGCGGGGGTCCACTGTAATACATATTTTATGAAAAAGAGGATAAATAAGTATACAAGATATGATATAGCACATAATGAAAGTACAGTGGACCCCCGCATACCGTTGGCATCACATAACGATTAATCCGCATACCGCTTGCTTTAATCGCAAAAATTTTGCCTCGCATACCGCTTAAAAACCCGCTCATCGCTCTTCGTCCGAGACGCGTCCAATGTGCGCCTTAGCCAGCCTCACATGTTCCGCCGGTGGCATTGTTTACCAGCCAGCCTCCGCGGTAGCATCCAAGCATACAATCGTAACATTTCGTATTATTACAGTGTTTTTGGTGATTTTATCTGGAAAATAAGTGACCATGGGCCCCAAGAAAGTTTCTAGTGCCAACCCTACAGCAATAAGGGTGAGAATTACTATAGAGATGAAGAAAAAGATCATTGATAAGTATGAAAGTGGAGTGCGTGTCTCCGAGCTGGCCAGGTTGTATAATAAACCCCAATCAACCATCGCTACTATTGGTGGTACAGCTGCTGCTGCTGCACTGTCAGCTGCTGCTGTAGCATCGTCTGCTGCTGCTGTAGCATCGTCTGCTGCTGCTGTAGCACTGTCAGCTGCTGCTGCTGCTGTAGCATCGTCTGCTGCTGCTGCTGCTGTAGCATCGTCTGCTGCTGCGGTAGCATCGTCTGCTGCTGCTGCTGCTGCTGCTGCTGTAGCATCGTCTGCTGCTGCTGTAGCACTGTCAGCTGCTGCTGCTGCTGCTGCTGTAGCACTGTTGTTGGTGTGGCTTATTGAAAATACAGTGGACCCCCGGTTAACGATTTTAATCCGTGCAAGAGGGCTCATCGTTATGCGAAATAATCGTTATGCGAATGAATTTTCCCCATAAGAAATAATGGAAATAAAATTAATCCGTGCAAGACGCCCAAAAGTATGAAAAAAAATTTTTTTTACCACATGAAATGTTAATTTTAATACACACAAACTGAAAAAGGCATGCACAATTAAATGACACTTACTTTTATTGAAGATCTGGTGATGATTGATGGGATGGGAGGGGGGGAGAGAGTGTGTTTAGTGTTTAGAAGGGGAATCCCCTTCCATTAGGACTTGAGGTAGTAAGTCCTTTTCTGGGGTTACTTCCCTTCTTCTTTTAATGCCACTAGGGCCAGCTTCAGAGTCACTGGACTTCTTCGCACAAGATATCTGTCCATAGGGGGCCTGAAACCTCTCGTTCCTTTATGACTTGCCTAAAGTGTTTAAACAACATTGTCAGTGTAATAATCACCAGCACGGCTTGCAATAGCTGTGTGAGGGTGATTTTCATCCATGAAGGTTTGCACTTCAAGCCACTTTGCACAGTTTTCCCTTAATCTTTGAAGTAGGCAACTTCTTCAATTTCTCTCTCCCCTCCTCCGAAGCAATTTCCTCAGGTGTGGCCTCTGCTGTTGAAGTTGATCTAGCAGCTCATCAGTGGTTAGTTCTTCATTGTCCTCCTCCACCAACTCTTCCACATCCTCCCCACTAACCTCCAACCCCAAGGACTTTCCCAATGCCACAATGGATTCCTCAACTGGCCCCAGGATTCTCAGGGTTAGCCTCAAACCCTTCAAAATCCCTTTTGTTACATTTTTTGGGCCCACAGTTTCTTCCAAGCAGAGTTCAAGGTCCTCTTTGTCACTTCCTCCCAAGCCTTACCTATAAGGTTTACACAATTGAGGATATTAAAGTGATCTCTCCAAAACTCTCTTAGAGTCAGTTGATTTTTCTGAGGTCATTACAAAGCACCTTTCAAACAGAGCTTTTGTGTACAGTTTCTTGAAGTTGGAAATAACCTGCTGGTCCATGGGCTGCAGGAGAGGAGTGGTATTAGGAGGCAAAAACTTCACCTTAATGAAAACTCATGTCCCCATAAAGTCGCCCCTGCCACGTCTGTAGGATGACCAGGGGCATTGTCCCCAACACCAGGAGGCACTTAAGTTCTATTTCTTTTCAGTTAGGTAATTTTCACATTGGGGGCAAATGCATGGTGTAACCATTATAGAAAAATTCCCTAGTGACCCATGCCTTACTGTTTGCCCTCCACAGCACAAAACAAAATTTTCCTTGAGGACATTCTTTTGCCTGAACGCTCTGGAGTTTCAGAGTGATACACTAATAAAGGCTTCACTTTGCAATCACCAGTAGCATTGGCACACATCAACAAAGTAAGCCTGTCTTTCATAGGCTTATTCCTGGGAGTGCCTTTTCCTCCTGAAATAATGTAGGTCCTGCTTGGCATTTTCTTTTCCCGAACAGGCCTGTTTCATCACAATTAAACACTTGTTCAGGTTTCAGTCCTTCAGTTTCTTTTGTACCCTTGAATTCCTGCACATATTTTTCAGCCGCTTGTGGTCCGAACTGGCAGCCTCACCATGCCTTACACACTATGGAGCCCCTACGCTTCTTAAATCTCTCAAACCAACCTTTGCTGGCCTTAAATTCACTCACATCATCACTAGTTGCAGGCATTTTTTTAATTAAATCGTCATGCAACTTCCTAGCCTTTCACATATGACGCTTGAGAGACGCTATTCCTGCTATCTGTTTTTTATTTATCCACCAATAAGAGTCTCTCAACATCTTCCATCAATTGCGATCTTTGTTTCGAAAACACAGTTGAACCTTTGGGAAGAACAGCTTCCTTGATTGTCTTTCTGGTGCCCACAATAGTAGCGATGGTTGATTGGGGTTTCTTGTACAGCTTGACTAGGGCGGCTTACGCACTCTCA